AATAAATAAAAGCCAGAAAGGAAAGTCATTGGTAAGAAAACTGAAATGTGTGCTAAAAAAAAAAAAAAACCTCTCACAACGACTTTAGAGTCACCCCGTAATAAGTAATGTGAAGCCAGACCATTAGCTTATTGGCAACTGAGCCTTCTTCTATTCAGTTAAGAGAGGAGGGGGAGAACACCAGGTTTAGGGTATAAGTCAAAGCAACGTTTTAAATACTGCAGATTATAAATGTGTTAAAAGTTGATAATTCAATGAGAATGAACAAATGACAACCTCACACAATATGGATGAATCTCATAAACAATGCTGAACAAAAGCAAGACATAATTAAAGTACAGAAATGGGAAAAATTATTCTATGCTGAATTCTAAAGTCAAGCTAGTGGTGACCTTTGAGGACTAGGCAGTGACCAGATAGGAAATCAAACAGGGCTTTTAAAGAGCTCATCATGTTCTGTTTCTTGACCTAGGTACCGGTTTAACAGGTCTGTTCAGTTTGTGAAAATTCATCACATTTATGATATATGCACTTTTCTGTAGGTTTATCATTCAACAAAAAGTATTTTTAAGAAGCCATAAGTCTCAAGCTTTTTTACAAAGTCAAACTAATTTCACCATTTCTTTAAAATTCTTTGATTATTTTGATTTCAAATAAGTTAGCTCACATATACAGAAGGTGCCAAAAAAAATGTATACACATTTTAAGAAAGGAAAACTGTATTTAAATTGTAATATTCAATATATACCGACAGCAAAAGATGAATACAAGACACGCTTGACTTCTGCAATTACAAGAGGTGCTCAAAGTGGTTACCATCAGCATCCAGACACTTCTGATTACGGCAAACTATTGCTTGAGCAACGCTGACCAAAGCATCCACTTGTATCCATTTTTTGGCACCCCTAGTATATAAAATGTGTCTATCATTAATGACCTGCCTAACCTTAAAGTTTAGCTTTTAAATATCTTAAGGGTACACAGTATATTACAAATATGGATGCTAAGTTAAAATAATAATAAATTAAAGTAATAAGTTATGAACTTGTTAATACCAAAGTAGTAAGTTAAGCTCTAATATTAACAAGCATAAATGCCTAGGCTCTAGGTAAGAGAATAACTACTGCCCCTTAAAAAGAGTGATGCAAGTTGAAGACTTGGGAGGGAACCTCCGAAAAAGAAAAACATGAATGAATAGGTTGACAGGGCTGGTTATTAGTATGTGAAAACATGAGGACAGGGAAAAAATACATAGGTTAATCCCTAAAACCTAAATCTAAAGCAATGTAAAATCCCAACCCCACCCACCTCCACTTCAACTCCCTGGACTTGCCTGCAAAAGGGGGAAAAAATCCCTATGTGGTTGTTGAAATCAGCAAGAAATACTCAGAATTAGCTAGTGTTCGGATCTTGGCCATGACATGGCAAAGTATAGTGACTCCTGACACAAACACAACAGGTGGTTTCAATTACCTGCCACCAAAGAACTTCAAATTATCTAAATTTTGTAAGTACCATTAAGCTTCAACAAATAAATTCTTTAGGTTATCTTCATGAAAACCAATCACAGGAAAGTAGCATGTTACTATGCTTTTGCTTAAACATTTAGAGTAATACATACTTGAAAAAACAAAAAGGTACTTTATTTTCTCACCATAATTTCTCACTCAGAGTGACTCAAAAGTCCAAAAGCTCGTTTGGGTTTTAGTTTTTTTAAGTTTTAGTTTTACACAAGACATACCCTCACAGAAAAGTCTCAAGAAGTATAAACCAAAATATTCACTTGGGAATACTGATGACTTGTTTACTTCATTTTGCTTTTTTTCTAAAATGGTACTTTTGTCCCAGCAAGTCGATACTTTCTAAAATCATATTTCTAGGACACTGCACATCTAGTTTGTTTTTCTAAAAAACAAAAAGGAATTTCACATACAGCCTGATTACATCATAGCTCAGTAATTAATAAACAGATACGAGGCCCATTTCACAGCCAGAGGGACATAACCTTTTTTCACGTCATCTTAGTAAAAGCTGAGCAAATGCTCTAGGCAATTCTATAAAGGTGAACTTTAGTTCATTAGATTAATAAATATCAGGAATCCACAAAGAGTCCATATAAACCTCACCTATATCTGATAAGTTTTGGTGAAGTAAGACTAAGTTGTTTTATGAGGATTACATTTTTTGCCCACCTTCATGAACTGGGAAAACTTTCTTAAAATCAAAACAGAGCTATGGTACACCTGAAACTAATATAATTCCAGTATGTCAACTATAATTTATTTAAAAATAAATTTCCAGAAAGAAAAAATACTTATTTTTCTGACTCTCAAAATGTCTGTGGTTTCCATGCTGAGATAAAATAAGCTTCTGAAACCACTTTACCACATTATGATTTAGACTAACCCTCTCTCAACAGACTAACCATCTCTCTGATTGCGGGTCTCTAAACAATCATTTTTGTAGATCGATGGATATGTGATAACGCAAATATAGCAAAATGTTAAGGATAAAATCTAGGAAGTGAATATATAGTGTCCACTAGCATTTTTTTCAACTTCTCTTTATGTGAAAATTCTCATAAGACATTTGGGTGAAAATAATCTTTCAAAGTCAGAATACAAAGAATACCTATTGCAACTCTAATCCAACTAAGGCTTTGAGGCCTTTCGTCAAATCACAAACGTAGCATTTCAAGCACCCCCACGAAAACGCCCTCCCTCAAGACTTTCTGGAGAATAATAGTCAACTGATAAAATGTAAAAGCGAGACTAAAAATACCCTCTCACCCGAAGCAAGTTTACCTAGAAAGTCATTTTCCAAGGGTTGTCATGAGGATTTTGTTGGACTTCTAACTTCATCAGTAAAACAACTCTGCCTCCATTACCATTTAACCGACATTTTTCAAAATTCCTAACAGTACTTACTCCTTAAAAAAAAAAAAAAAAAAATCTCCCAGAAAGCAGATCCGTGGAGCCCTCCCAGGTCCTAAAACCTGCAAAACCCAGGAGTTCGGGGCGCTAGTGGTTCCAGGTGTTTCACTCTTAACGGGCAGGTGGGGATTGTAACCTGGGGTCTACACGGGTTATTAAACACCTGGAAAGGGGAGAAGATGATATACAGACTGGCCGGGAGTCAAAACGAAAGAAGTGATGTGAAAGGAGGAAGGGAAAAACCAAGCGATCTGTGCGGGGAGGCTCTGGGAGCATCCGGCCAGCTGGGCGCTGCCGGGCGCGGCGCTCGGGAGCTCGGGGGGCAGAAGCACGGGCCCCGCACCGGCCACCCCGGCCCTGCCCGCACCTCTCGGTCCTTGAGGCCCAGCAGGAGCACCTCCTCCATCAGGGTCAGCCGCGTTTCCTTGGAGTCGCCCTTGTCGTCGTCGTCCTGTTCGTCGCGGCGACTCTGAGCGTCGTCCTCGCCGCCGCCGCCGCCGCCGCCCGCCGCCCGCTCCTTGTCGGCAGCGTTGCGGGAGGCCTCCGTGCGCCGCTGCACCAGGCCCGAGCTGCGCTGGGTCAGCGAGGTCATGACTCCCGCCTAGGCGCCGCGCCGGGCCGAGAGGGACGCGGGACCTGCCGGGTCTCCCTCCTCCCCCCCCCCGCGGTCCCCGACCCGGGCTTCCGTGTTAAATCCGGGTGCTGGGGCGACGTCCGTCGGCAGCGGGGCCGGGGGAAGTCATGGGGAGACGGGCCGGGGCGAAGCGGGCAGGCCGGGTGTTGGCGGGGCGCAAGAGGGGAGCCTTCCTTCCTACGGGCGCAGCCCGGGAGGCAGCCCGAACACCCAGGCGGCGGCAGCGGCGGCGGCGCTTTCCCAATATGGCGGCGCTGGCTGACGTCACCGGAGGATGTGGCACCGCCGGCGCTGGGCAGGCCCGGAGGGCGCCGGAAGCGGTGGGCGGGGACCGGCGGACTACGACCGTCTGCCGGCCCTCGGGTGTCCGCCGGATAGCGCCCTTCCCTTGGTGTTCCTTCGCTACCCGGCCCGCGGATCCCCTCCCTCCGCCCGTCTCCCCATTTCTCCCCCCAAGAAACCCGGGCTGGAGCCACGAGTCCGGGGAGCCGTGGCCTAGCGAGCGTGGACTCCAGTCAACCCCGGCTGTGCCCTTAGCTCCCCAGACACCACCATCCTCGCAGTTGGCCTTCGCCGGGGTTGCAGGGCCCCGGCTTGGAGTTTGGGGTCCCCACGAGACACAGAAGGGACTTTGCTCGCTGCTGTTGGAGCGAGGAGCGGACGGACGCGCTCTCTGCCCTCACTCCCTAGCCCTTCGGATGGAGCAACTGCATTTAAATGGCCTGAAAGTGGACTTTGTGTTTTCTTGGTGCATTACTGTATGAAAAGAAATTAGAACAGATTGAACAGTTGTGTTTGTAAAACTTTTTTCCTCGCCCCCGCCCCCCCACCCCCGACTGGTAAAGTGACCAGGGCGCGGTGAGTAGTCAGTACTGCTCACGTCAGTACACTCGACCTTAACGAGAACTTTATATGCAGTCAATAAACCTGTTGAGTTTCATGCCACGTCTTTGGACACATTAAATCTCCCTCAATTTAATTACTAGGTTAAATCCTCTTGGCGTGCTTGACTGTGCAAGTTATGTTAAAGAATAAATGTCAAACCTGAGAGGGGTGTTGGAAGGGTGGAGCGTGTAAGGAAAACATTATCTAGAAATGGAATTGCATGCCATCCAGTATTATTTAAAATCAACAGTGACCACAGGCTGTGGCTGCAGAATGGTTTAGGTAGAAATATATTGTGTGGTAACAGGACTTAAGCTATAATAAATGATAAAGCCGTAAAACCGTCCCATAGAATAGCGGTTCTCAACCTTCCTAATGCCGCGACCCCTTAATCCAGTTCCTCATGTTGTGGTGACCCCCAACCATAAAGTTATTTTCGTTGCTACTCTATAACTGTCATTTTGCTACTGTTATGAGTCGTAATGTAAATATCTTTTTGTTTTCCGATGGGCTTAGGCGACCCCTGTGACAGGGTCGGTCGACCCCCCCCCCCAAAGGGTTCGCGCCCCACACGTTGAGAACGGCTGTCATAGAACATTCGGGCTCCAGATTTCTCCGCCCTCCACAAAACCATTATCCAAAGCTACTGGTCACATGATCACCACCTCAAGCCCTGGAAAGTGAGCATGCTGAATCTGCAGGGGCGGGGCGGTGTGAGCCGGGTGAGCACAAAGCAGACCCTCCCTTCTTCCTATCCTTCTGGGCAAAGGTCTATTTCACCTCAGCCAATTTCTGTCATTCACATCCTGTTCAATTTTTTTTTCTTTCATCTCTCTCCCAATTCTTTCCCAAATAGCCAACAAATTCTCTGATACTCTTCTCAAAAGGGGAAACCTAATTGCTCTCCCCTTGTGTGGGCCAGACTTAGTGGCTCTCTTCAAATGAATAGAATGTGGCAGGTGTGGCTGTGTGTGACTTCTTAGACGACTTCATAACAGTCTTTGCTTCTTCCTTGTTCTCTCTCTCAGATCATTCACTCGAAGGAAAGCCAGCAGCCATGTCATGAAGACAGTTCAAGCTGCCTTATGGAGAGGTCCAGTTGGAAAGGAACTGAGGCCTCCAACCCACAGCCATGTGAGTGACCATCTTGGAAGTGGCTCCCCCAGCCCCAGTCAAGCCTTTAGTTAACATCTTGATTGCGATCTCGTGCGACCCAGCTAAGCCATTCCTGAATTCCTGAGCTTCAAAAACCATGAGATAATATTTGTTGTCTTAACAGTTGCTAAATTTGGGGTCATTTGTTATGCAGTAATAGATGCTAAAACACTTGGACACATATTCACACAAATAGGTAACTAATATTATTTTCTTAGCCTTCCCAAGCAAATATGAAAATATGTTTTTCTTCCCTCTGATGCAAATAATAGCACATTATCCACATTGCTTTGTATCTTGGTTTTTTTTCCCTCCACTTAATTGTTTTGTTTTTTTTTTTAGCTGAGCCATCCTGGCACCTGTGGGCAGCTCAGCAGCAGCTCAGCTCCGGCCGTGATCAAACCGGGACCCTGTTGCTCAGAGCTCAAACTCTTGACCGGGACCCTGTTGCTCAGAGCTCAAACTCTTGAGCGAGCTCTTAACCAACTGAGCCACTCAGCCGGCTCCCTCCCTCCACTTAATTGATGTTGGAGAGCTATCTATATCAATACATATGAGCTTCTTCATGCTTTGTTTCAGCTACATATTCTATTGTATAAACATACCATAATTTTTTTTAGTCCCCTATTGGTGGACATTTAGGTTGTTTCTAATTCTTTGCTATTATAAACAATGCTGTAATAAATATAATGACTAGCCACATAATTTGTCTACAAAAATATGTACCACACTCTTCAAATCGTTGAGGCTTTACACGACTCTCTCTCTCTCTCTCTCTCTCTCTCTCTCTCGCTCTCGCTCTCGCTCTCGCTCTCGCTCTCGCTCTCTCTCTTTTTTTTTTTTTTCAGTTTTCCTAGCATTGTTTCCTTGCTTATTTTCCACAAGGTGGACTTCAAAAATCACCTTGTCTAGAAAGAATGAAAAAGAGAAAAAGGAAGGGAGAAAGGAAGGGAAAGAAAAGAATATAGTAGTTTGGGAACCAAAGTATATATTACTAATAACAATGACCATTTATTTATTGACTGCTGAGTATGTGCCAGGCATGTTCTCCATAACCTCACCAGAACACTCAGATTTGGTGTCTCTGCTGTGCTATACTTGTGTGTGAACTCCAACCTCCTCATGAAGCGTAGCCTATCAACACCACACCCTATGCCCATGTGAGGCAACCTAGAAGTGTGCAAGAGTTAGCACTTCAACCCCGTACATACAAGTTCCCCTTTTTCTCCCCAAATGGATTGTTGAGATCTTTTTTACAACTTCTCAGTGACACTTAGCTACAGCAAGCTCAACAATACTTTCTTGACATAGCTCCCCCTCCTTCACTCCTCACTCACCCTCTCCCTTGCTCCTGTTTCCAGGAGTTGCACTCTCTAACAAAAGCCTTTGCTTAGGCCCTGCTTTCTGGGTATCCCAGACTAAGACACCCACTTTACTTGTGAATATACTGAGGTTTAGAGAAGTTAAGTAATCTGCCCAACATAACACATCTGGCAAAGTGCAAGCCTGCATTAGAAGCCAAGTCCTTGATTCAATCACTGAACAAATATTTGTATTTATACATAATGGCTGTATGTTATTCACTGTGTTAAGCAATGAGGATCTCATAGCAATACAAAAGATATACAGCCATAGCATTTTTCATGAGGCTGTTATAGGAGGACACAGCCAGTAAGCCAATCATCACACTAATTAATATATAAATCGAGAAGTGCTTTGAATACAGAAAGAATACAGTATTATGAGAGCATGTATTCTCAAATATCTGAGAGAATTATGTTTTATCTGGGACTCAAGAAAGCAACTATAAAAAAGTAATAAGCCAAAAAAAATAATGAACTGAAGTTAACTAAACAAAATAGGGTTGGTCATTCCTAAGAGGAAATAGCATGTGCAAAGGCCCTGTGGCAAGCACAAATCATGGGATGATGGAGAATCAAATAGAAGACCATTTTGGCTGGGCTTAGGGGGAGAGTGTTGTCAAAAGCAATAGTGACAAATGTCAAATCATGCAGTGCTGTGAGGCCATTTTAAGGTTTTGGTTTTTTCCCAACCAAACACAATGAGAAGCCTTTGAAGATACTTTTAAATGCCCTGTGTAGGGAAAAATGGAATAGGTGCATCTGTGATATTATCAGATTTGCATTTTGAAAAGCTCACAGAATACACCTACGAGGTAGTCACAATGGATCCAGGAACCAGTTAGCTTTTGCAGTGGTCCCTCAGGACAAGATGGTAACTTAACTTTGATCATGGAAGAAGAGTGAGAAGTACATATTTTCAAGAGATACTTAGTAAGTAAAATTGACAGGATTCAATGGAAGACTGACTATGGAGTAGGTGGGGTGTAAGAGAGAGAGGTTTTCAAGGATGACTTCCCACCTCTGGCTTGTCTAGGAACTGAGGGCAGCCTTCAGCCAATAAGAGTGGGCAGAAGATCAGGACAGGAAATGTCCTGACTAACTTATAAGTAAGGGTCTCTGCTGTGATTGGAATTATAGGCCAAAGCTATCTTCTTGGAGTTTACTTCAGGTTTAGGTATAATCCTCTTTTTGCTGCACTTAACACCCCTCTCTTTTTCTTAGCTCAGTAGAAATTGACTATCTTACTCACTGTTACCTAGAAAACCCCTGACACATACATACAAATTTAATTTGTTCTCTGCCCCACCTTCTCTGAGTAAATAATCCTCAGTTCGTTGAGTCAACCATGAAAATAATTGCCCTCCTACCCAGGATTTTAAATAAATTGGGGTGTGGTAAGAATTGACCTTCTAAAGCTATAGAATGGCTTCCTCTTTTTACAAACTACAAGTTTTTCTTCTAGCATTGAATGCTGAAGCTACTTGAGGGGCTGTATTCGTTTTCTGTGCTGTGGAACAAACAGCATACATTTATTATCTCACAGTTTCTGTGCAGCAGGCATCGGGCGCAGCTTAGCTGGATCCTCTGCTGTGGGACTCACAAGCATGCAATCAAGATATCAGTGGAGCAGCATTCTCATCTGGAGGCTCAATCGGAGAGAACTGGCTTCCAAGCCTGCTCAAGTTATTGCAGAATTCATTTCCTTTTGGCTACAGAACTGAGGGTTTTTGTTTCTTGTTGGCTATTGGCTGGAGGCTGCCCTCAGTTCCTAGAGGCTGCATGCATGGAGCATGTGAACTTGTCATGTGAGCTTCGTCAATATGGCCACTTACTTCATCAAGCCAACAAGGAGATTCCCTAGTGTGAATCTGCTAGTATAATGGAGTTTTATATAATGTCAAATAATCATGGGAATGCCATCCCATCATCATTGCCATATTCTGTTGGTTAGAAACAGTCATTAGTTTCAGTCTACACTCAAGAGCAGGGGATTATACAAATGCATGAACACCAGAAGGCAAGGACCCCTGGAGTCATCGTAGGGGTTGCCCACCACAGCAGTCTTGAATCTTTCCCGCATAGAGATGGAGAGCATGTGAATGAACAAAATCGAACCTAACTTTCAGTATTTTCAATTATCTTTTTTCTTTATTCAAAACTTCCTACAAAAACATGTGTACGAGTTATTTACTGCTGTGCAACAAAACACATCCCTAAAATAGTGGCTTAAAACAACTGTTTGCTCATTATTCTACAGTTCAGCAATTTGCATGGGGCTCAGCTGGGCTATCTGCTGGTTCCCCACAGGATTACTCACATGGCTGTAGTCAAACTGCAGCTTCACTTGAGCCAGTTGATTTAACACGGCCTCACTCATATATGTGGGGATTGATACTGGCTGTAGGCTTGTCCACATACCTCCCACAGGCTGGACCAGTCTTCTTCACATGGCATCTGAGTTCCAAGAGAATCTGCAAAGCTCACAAGTTGTTCAGTTTTACTTTTGCTCCATTCTATTGATCAAAGTAAGTCCCAAGATGAGCCCAGATACAAGTGGGGAAATAGACCTTCCCTCTTTTCTTTCTACAATTGTGCAAAGTTCAAACCTGAGAATCCTTCCAGATTTACCTGACAACTATTACAAAGTATCCATATTCATATACAAGAGCATTTCTTAACTGGTTAAAGATACAATGGCATTTAATATTACAGTAGTTGATCTTTGCTTGTATACAATAAGCTATTGTATATCTATATCTATATCTATACTTACATATGTCTTTACTATATCTATAGATCTATACTATATCTCCAGAACCAGGAACGAAAACACTGGTAAATTTGATTCCATAAAAATCAAAAACTTCTGGATGGGAAAAAATATCATAAGGTCAAGACAAATGTCAAATGGAGGGCGGGGAATGGTCATAGAACATTAAAAGACAGCTCACAGAAAAATAGAGTTGGCTCTTAAATATAAAAAAAAATGTTTGCCTTTTTAGTAATAAGAAAAACATATTAAAACTACACTGATAATACTATTTCACCAACTAGTTAGAAACACATGTAAGCAAAAGTATGGGGAACACCAGAACTAATATACATTACTGATGGAAGTACAAAGTGGAGGGAAATTTGGTGAATTATGAATTCATCAAAATGCCAAATGCATTTACCTTTTGATGTAGCAATCTCACTCTATCTCCAAGATTTATCAGCTAATGTATAAAATGACACATGTATGTGGTTGTTCATTGTAATACTGTAGAAGTGAAAGAGGGGAAATAACCCAAAGTTCATCAATAGGAGATTGATTAATTACGATTGATTAAATACTGTTGTAAACAGAACATTCACACAATGGAAGACGGTGCACTGTGAAAATGAATGAGGGAGCTCTCTGTGTGGCAATAATGGAAAGATCTCTGACATATACTGTATAGAGAAAATTACAAAGAGCAGAACAGTGTATATAATATGCTACCTTTTGTATTAGAAAGGGAAACACAAAAGAATATATTTCATATTTATATATACATTTTTTAAAGATTTTTATTGGGGAATTGGGGGATGGGAACAGTGCTGGGGAGTTGGAGGAAGGGGAACAGACAAGTTGCTGTCCTTTTGTTCTTCAGTCTACGCCGTTGCCGGCGACTCACGGCAGCCCAGCTCCAG